TTGGTGGGGAGCCCTGGGTGAGCCCCCAAACCATTACCCTGAGACAGTCTTTAAATCTGGAGCATGGGAGGGCTGGCCAGTGGGTTGGAAGCAGGGGTGAGGAAGTGAAAGGGCCAAAGGGTGTGTCCTGAACTTGCTGAGCCTTATCTCCCCAAATGGACACAGCACAGTGAGTAGGGGGAACCCCCAGTGACCCCAGGACCTGGAAAGCACTTTGTTGTTGGTTGTTGACCGTGTGTGTTCCAATCATTACGTAAAAAGAGTCCTAGTGATGCCGTGGGTTAAGCACTGGGCTCCTAACTTCGAGGCTGGAAAAATGTTCCCAAAGTCAATGCCATGGAGTCGATGCAGACTTATCGAGACCCTGCCAGGACAGGGTAGAACTGCCCCTGTGGGTTTCGAAGACTGGAACTCTTTGTGGAAGCAGGAAGTCTTGTCTTTCTGCCAGAGGGGCGGCTGACCTTCTGCTTAGCAACCCAACCCACTGTGCCCCCAGGGTTGTTAGATTCTCCGCTGGAAGGGAAGTTCAAACTCATCAGCGGGTAGGAAAAAGACAGGATTTATGGTCTTGGAAACCCAAAGGAGCAGTTCTGTTCTGCCCTGTCGTGTCCCTATGAGTCAGAATCAATCTGATGGCAGTGGGTATTGTGGGTCATTACCACATTGCTATTATCGTGACTAATAGTCCCTAGGTGACACGAATGATTAAGCACTCAGTTACCAATAGAAAGGCCACAGGCTTCAATCCACTCCCAGGCACCTCGGAAGAAAGGCTAGTGGTCAACGTATACCCAGAAACCAAAACCCACTGCTACCCAAGTCAATTACGACTCACAGGACCCTGTACGATAGAGCTGTTCTGTTCCGATTGGGTTTCCAAGACAGTAAATGTTTATGGAAGCAGACCGCCTTCGCTTTCTCCCCAGGAGGGACTGATACATTTAAACGGCCCGACCTTCTGGTTCACCGTCCAGTGCTTACCCAGGGCTCCTTTGAAAGATCACTGCATTGAAAATCCTATCAAGAACACTTCTGCTCTGAACCAGACGGCGCCGCCATGCGTCACATCGACTCCTAGGCAACTGGTTTGGTTTGTAAGTATGTGCTAAATAGGAAGTGTTTTTTCTTTCATCTTTTTTCATTTCAAAGCTCTCCCACTTGCCCAGCCCAGTCTCTGGGCTCGTTCTGTGCAGCAGGCCTGATTTGGGGGTCTCAGGTGAGGCCGGCAGAAGAAGTGGACAAGACCAGATGCTGTCTACCGAACTGTGTGAATAAACCCCACACACAACTGAAGTTCTCTATCAGCAGCGAGAGAATCATGGTGGGATGGGCAGAGGTAGCTTCTTCTGGCTCACTCTTGTTGAGTTCAAGTTTTACTGTTGCGATATCCCCACGTGTGGTGTTCATTTAAATAAGATAAGGGATGGCTAGTAAGAACTTAACCACACCTAACGGAGGACCTCCGCGGGAACCCTGCTGATCTCGGGTAAGTTTGCTGCCATCTCTGGGCCTCATTCTACTCACTGACAAGATAGAAACACCCCATAACACACACACACCCACCTCCTACCCTTGGCCCGGCCCCCACTCTAGAAGCACCTTTACAAGTCCAAAGCCATAGGTTTTAAGGAGGGAAACCACAGAGGTAAAATGCCATTCTCATCACATCATCTCAGGAGCCAACTATCAACTTGACTTATGACTGTTGATATTAACCTTGATCACCTGGCTGAGGTAATGTTTATCAGGTTTCTCCACCGCTGTTGCCTTCCCCTCCACACTTTCCATACTGCATTCTTCGCAAGTCACTGTCCAGGGGAGAGGCAGGCGCCGACGCCTGGAAGGCATAGTATCTCTACAGATTATTTGGGCTCTTTCGGCTTGGGAGATCTGCTCCTACTCTCATCTGCGTTGATCCGGTTTTTGATCGGTATGGACACAAGGACCTTTTGTTTTACACGTTTGGTTATAACCCGAACTCCCTTGCTCTTCTTGCTCAGATGCTTTGGCCCTTGGGAGGCTTCCAGCGTCTCCTGCATCTCTCAGACACACTGGCATGTTTGTGGGGAGGTTTGTCATTGTTTGGGGGAGGGCAGCTTCAGAGCCACCTTTGCCTCCCGCGCTACAGGGAGCTCCAGGTTCGCTTTGTATAGTTTCTGCTCTCTGCTAGAAGCAGTCATTTCTCTAAGGAGAAAAACCGAGGGCTCGGTTTTAATCCTAGAGAAGGCGAGTCTGGAAGTTGGGGAAGAAGGTGCCTCCGGTGGGGAGAAGTAAGGCCCAACCCACCCTTAGGACGGGGCTTTCCTGGCAGCAGCAGCCAGACTTGCAAGTCATTAGTGAGAACTAGGTGACTCACCAGCTCCCCAAGTTGTCTCCTCCCTCCCCCTCTTGCTGACAAGACTGTCCCTAAACCAGCTCAGACAGAGGGACCTAGGTCAGAAAGTGTCTCCACCCATGGGACCAGAGAAGAATGGGCGCATTTTAGGTAAAGTCAGGGTTTTTACCTATGTCAGCAGGCACCACCATCCTCCCTGCCACCCCCCTGCCCGCCCCCCGGGAAAATCTCATTTCACCCATTTGTGTAGTATTTAGTAACTATACCCCTCCAACCCACAAAAGATTAAACAGGATTGCGTTCAAATTTACAATGCCAATAAAACTATTATAAAAACCCATGTAAAAGGACAAGAGCAGTGTCAAAAGAGCGTGTGTGTGTGTGTGTGTGTGTGTGTGTGTGTGTGTGTGTGTGTGTAATAACAACTTCATCCCAGATACTGACTCAGGGAGCCTCCTTAGGAACCCTAGGCTGCCTGAATCACGGGTGGCTAGCCCCAGGATTCTCAGGGATGAGCAAGCTTCACTTGACCTTTTATAGAGCTGAAACTGATCAAGTGATTTTCGGGGAAGGGGTGGTGTTGGCAGGGGGAGAGCATGCAATTAGGTGGTGGGCTGAAGAACTGGGGCTCAGGGGCAGGTCTTTTGATGTTGAGCTCTTTGCAAATTCCCATCCATGATTCTCTTTCTAGGAGAGCAAGAAAAGACCGTTTTAGGACTTTTTCTCACTGGATCAAGTTGATTCTGACTCACAGAGAGCCCGTAGGGCACATAGAACTGCCCCCTGTGGACTTGCAAGACTAAATCTTTCCGGAAGTAGAAAGCCTCCTCTCTCCCCCCACAGAGCACCTGGTGTCAAACTGCTGCCCTGGCCGTTGCAGCCCAGCAAGTCAGCCATAGGCCGCCAGGATTCCTGTGGACTTCCTAGGGCTCAGCAATGCCAGGACAGCACCGTGGGGCCTCTTCCATTGACCTGATGAATATAGTTATGTCGATATCACTGAGAGATCTCGGGGACTCTGGAGCCACCATTAGGGATTATTAGCTTCCCCCGGACATTCCGACAGACAGGGAATACAGAATGGAGCCATCCTTCGGGATGTAGCAATGGGGACTGAGGACTGGACACTTTGCCCATCGTCAAGATGTTAGTGGTTAAGTCAGCAACTTTCTAGCTGTTGCCTTCTTCCCACTCACAAACCAGGGCTCAGGAGGCATTTTCTAAGAGATTGGCTTTCCAGACTCTTATTTTACCAACTCTCTTGAGAAATAGCTTTCTCTCTTGTACCATGCACTCCACTGCCAGCAAGCACTCCCCCGCCCAGCCACAGCTAGCCCCTGTGTTTGCAATGATCTTTGAATAAGCACAGGCAAAAGACTGCCTTGGGAATCAGAGAAAGGATTCTGGGCCTGGCTGGCGTTCCTTGGTGTGGTTGCAATAAAGAGATGAAATTAGCCATCAGCCTACTCTTCGGTGACCCGGTGACCTCCTAGGGTTACCTGGGAGATCTTGTCTGTAAACTCCTCAGGCAAAGACTGTGGGAGGCTAGTATCTGCAAATAAGTAATGAATATGTTTGGGATGGGGGTATTATATTAGGTGCTTTGGGGGCTTAGAAAGTACTCAACTAGGGTAATGGAGTGTCCTAAGTCCCCATAGTAGAGAGAGGCAGGAGGACTTCAGGCTGAGTCTACCGGCAGCTCTCCTGTGAAGGGGCTGTCTGCTGTGCTCTGCCTCTCTCTTTTGCTGTATGTTTTCAGATTCATTTTAATGATAAAATTATTATAAAGGAATAAAAGCCACCGTTACCGAGTCAATTCTGACTCATAGCGACCTTACAGGACAGATTAGAACTGGTCCCATGGGATTCTGAGATTATAAATCCTTACCGGAGAAGCCGCTTCTTTCTCTCCAGAGGCTTGCAGGTTCAAACTGTAGACCTTGCAGAGAGCTCTGGGAGCTTAATGGATTATGTACCGGACTCCTAACTTCAAGGTTGGCGGTTCAAATCCACCAGTGTCTCCAGAAGAGACAGATGAGGCTTTCTGCTCCTGAAAAAATCTACTGCTTTGGAAACCCACACGGGCAGTTCTACCCTGTTCTAAAGGGTCACCATGAGACAGAATTGACTGGTAGTGAATTGGAATTTAAAGCAATACCTGACTTAAAAAATAAAAACAATTCAAATATATACGTTAACTGTGAAATAGAAATTGAAGTCTCCCCACCCCATCTCTCCTCTGGTGGTAACCGCTATGACTAACGAGGGCCATACCCAGCCGGACTTTACTGGTGCAAGCATTGGTATGGATTTTGTTTGTTTTGATTGGAACAAAGGTGGGCTCATGTTGTATTGTGTGCTCTGCACCTTGCTTTGTTCCTTTTAACAGTGTATAGCTTTCTCTGTCAGGAGACCACATCGGCCCTCATTTGAGCAATTCTTTGTCCTGGTGCCGGTCTTTGAGCGCGAGCTTTTTGCGCCCGGTCTCGCGGAGGGCCGGCGGCGCAGGGGGCGGAGCCGGGCCGCTCGGCTATGTAGATGAGGTGGGCGGGGCCGCACTTATACCTCGGCTAACGGCGGGCCGGCGCGCCCAGCCCCGGCCGACTCAGCCCGCGGCAGCCAGCGCTGCGCTCGTCTTCGTCCGCGCAGCCGAGCCTCGTCCGGGCTGGCCCCTCTGCTGCCTCCCGAGCGGGCCATGCCCCCGCGGGACCTCAGCGAGCCGGAGCCGCCGCCCCTCCGGGCCCCGACCCCTCCCCCGCGGCGCAGCAGCGCGCCCCCGGAGCTGGGCATCAAGTGCGTGCTGGTGGGCGACGGCGCAGTGGGCAAGAGCAGCCTCATCGTCAGTTACACCTGCAATGGGTACCCCACGCGCTACCGGCCCACGGCGCTGGACACCTTCTCCGGTACGTTCCACGGCTGGCTCCGGCGGCCGCGGAGTTGGGGGGCGGTGCCCCCCGGCGCGCCGGCTGGGGCTAGAGGCGCGGCCGCTGGCCGCAGGGCACGAAGCCCCCAGGGAGGGAGGCGGTAGCAGGCCTCGAGGTGCCGCCGGTGGGCCCGGTGGGCCCCGGGGACGCCCCTCCTAACCCATGCTTTCCTCCGCCTCTGCAGTGCAAGTTCTGGTGGACGGAGCCCCCGTGCGCATTGAGCTCTGGGACACAGCGGGACAGGTGAGAATCGAGGCGCCGCCCCCCTTGGTCTGGGATGAGCTGGACCAGAGATGGGGAGGACCCCAGATCGAACCGCAGGGGGGAGGGCTCGAGCTCTGGGTTACAAACCTGAGGCTTTTCAGCCCCGGGTTTAAAACCCACTCGGGTTCCAGGTATCCCACTAACAGCCTGGCCTTTCCACCCAGGATGACTTTGACCGGCTTCGTTCCCTCTGCTACACGGATACCGACGTCTTCCTGGCCTGCTTCAGCGTGGTACAGCCCAGCTCCTTCCAAAACATCACAGAGAAATGGCTGCCCGAGATCCGCACGCACAACCCCCAGGCGCCGGTGCTGCTGGTGGGCACCCAGGCCGACCTGAGGGACGACGTCAATGTACTGATTCAGCTGGACCAGGGAGGCCGGGAGGGCCCGGTGCCCCAGCCCCAGGCTCAGGGTCTGGCCGAGAAGATCCGGGCCTGCTGCTACCTCGAATGTTCGGCCTTGACGCAGAAGAACTTGAAGGAGGTATTTGACTCGGCTATTCTCAGCGCCATTGAGCACAAGGCTCGGCTGGAGAAAAAACTGAACGCCAAGGGTGTGCGCACCCTCTCGCGCTGCCGCTGGAAGAAGTTCTTCTGCTTTGTTTGAGCAAGGATGACGGCAGGGTAGTGAGCAGTGGATGCGTGGCCAGAGACTTCTGGAACCTGGGACTCGGGGGCCCCTGGAGGGGGCTACTGACAGTGGATCAGGCCACCCAAGGGACTTAGTTCTCTTCTGAACGCTGTGGGGGCAGAGGGCATCGAATGGCCCACGCTGTTTTCCCAGGGTGAGCCTGGAGGCTCAGACCCAGATTTCTGTGGTCATAGCTTACAGGAAAGCCAGCACTTGATGGGCCCAACAGGATCAGCTGCCTCCTGCAGCAGCTTGGGGTCCAATTCCAGCCTTCTCGTCATGGGCTACCAGTGCTGGCTTAGGGCCCCTTGCAGTCATCTCTAGCCCCCCTCCTTGGCACAGGATCGAGGAGGAGCTTGGGCGTCTTGGAGAGCTGGAGGGTGTCTAGCCTGATTGGGAGAGAGGTCTGAGAGATGGAAGGGAGTCAAAGCAAGGTCTTGGTGCTGCGTCGCTGGAGGCAGTTCTGAGGGCCTGGCCTGGAAAGAGGGAGAGCCAGCCGAAAGTGGGGCAAACCAAGAGCAGGGTTGACACCTGGGCTGCCCTCAAACCAGGGAGGGCGGTGCCGCTGGTTCCTGGGAAGCCTGGGCTCTGGGCTCCCTAGGCACTGCCCAAACTGGCTGGGCCAGGAGTAGGGCAGGAAGTGAGAGGCAAGGCCCAGCAGGTGGCTGGGGAAGGAGCTGCAAATTAGAGCCCAAGGAAGGGGCTAGAAGTCACCCTCTCCCAAGGTCACAGCCTGGAGGAGGAGGGGGAGAAGGAGGAGGAGGAGGAAGAGGAGGAGGAAGAGGAGGAAGGGCAGTGAAAGAGTCTGCAAATAAAGTCTGAAGTTTCAGAAGCTGCTGTCTCCTTGTCATTTCCTGGAATGGTCAGTAGAGCCCCCTGCATGTTGCCCTGATAGTCTTTGTTGCCGAATCTATTCTAACTCATCGAGACCCTTATGAGGCTTTCTCCTGCAGAGAGGCCGAGTTTGAAGCCCCAGCCTTGACATTACCTGCCCAAACTTTACCTGACATTGTCAACATAGTCCTTTCAACAGCGTGGATAGAGACAGATCCAGCACCAAAGGGCTGAGGCTGGACCGACCAGGTGGCTGATGGGACAGTGTGATGGGAACTGGACTAGGGGGGAGGTGTGGGGCTCCCCACTTGGGGCTTAGCTGGTTCCCAGGAGAGCTAGCGTGGGAAGCAGCCTGGAAACGGGTTTCCCCAGGTGTCAGCGCCAGACCTGCTTTCCCATGACCTCACCTGGTGGGTGGGGCTCCTCCCCTCTCCCCCTCCTTTCTGGAGGGCAGGGCTCCCTCAGTGTTGCTGCTCTGGGGCAGTGGAGCCCTCTTACTCTCCTGCTGGGAGCTGGCTGAGGCCTGCTCTTGCAGTCCCAGGGTCGAAGGGTCTTGGGCTGGGGCCCTAGGTTCAGAGCCTGAGCAGAGAGGGACCGCTCCAGAACCTAGGTGTATGTAACTTCAGCAGATTCTCCACTGGGTCTAGAAGTCCTGTTGGCCTAGCTTCTTGGACTTGGGTTGGTTGGGTCCAGCCTTCAACCATGGTCCTTGTCTGCTTCAAACGCCTGGGAAAGACCAGGTGGCAGTTGTGAGCAATGGAAATAGGATGAGTTTGGTCCTCGGCATCTTGTGGGAATAAGGGTGGGAAAGGCCCAGAGGAGCCGGGGTCCACAGAACATTCTTAGGAACTGTAGCTGGAAAGAACTTTGAACAAAGGCCATCTTGGGAAAAAGAAAACCTTATTTTACTTACCCAGAGAAAAAGAGTAATTTCTCCAAAAAAAAGAGAGAGAGAGAGAGAGAGAGAGAGATTGCAAGGTACTTGAAAAAACACTTTGTAAATTCTGGGTTTTCAAAAAAATTTTTTTTCTTTTTACTTGAGGCCTTGGTATCAGCTCCTCCCCACCATCTCACCCTCATGAACCCTTGATAAATTATAAATTACTATTATTTTCATATCTTACACCGTCTGCCGTCTCCCTTCACCCATGTTTCTGTTGTTCGTCACCTTGGGTAAGAGGTTTTGTAAAGGCCTATTGGCCATACCTCTGGCAGGACCTGGTACACCTGCTCGGCGGCTGCCAGGTGAGCACTCACTGTGCCAGCTCACCTCTGGGCTAGCTCCCTCTGCAGGAAGTTTAACAGTTATGTGTGTGTGAAAGAGCGCGTGGCTGGGAGAAATCCTAGCCAAGTGAAACCTCAGATAATCCCCAAGTTCAGTTTTAGCCAAAACTCCATCTCCTGTACCACCTTCCAGAACTCCAGCCACCTCTCTCGTGGTTCCCTTGCCCTCTCAGGTGGAGGTGCTCAGCAGCTCGCCCCTCCACAGCAGACACCTGAGTAAAGGTCAGGCTGACGTCCACCGGCTCTGTTAAGATTTCAGACAGAAGGAAAAAAAAAAGATTTCAGACAGATGAGTAGTGTGTTTTAGTTTCCTCGATTATAAATTGAAGGACTCGGGATTCCAGGTTTTCAAACTGCTCTGAGGGGCCTTAGAGGGGCCAGCGGGAGGAAGCCTAGTCAGGTGGTCTCTGGGCCCCTACCTCTGTGACGGTACTGGCATGTCCACATCACCCAAGTCACCCAAAAGTGGCCCTCATGTTTCTCCCACTGTTACCAAGCCTGGGGGATGCAAATTGTTCAGACACTCACTGTTAACCCAAAGATTGGAGTCCACCCAGAGGCACCTGGGCAGAAAGGCCTGGCAGTCCACTTCTAGAAAAGCAGCCCTGAGAACCGTGGAGCACCGTGACACACACGGGGTCGCCATGGTCCGTGCTAATTTTAGACTCTTCATGCCTCTGCTGGGTCTGACACCTGATGTCTGACTGGCTCTACGTCACAGGTGGGAAACCTTTTTCTGCCAAGGGCCATTCGGTATTTCTAACATATGACGCAAAATTCATACAAAATTATGAACTTAAAAATTAGCCTGGCATAGTTGGTCAAAGACGAAATGAACTCACCCCTGAGGAGATGGCTGGACCTGCTTCTGTGGGGTGAAGCATGTGTCGTTAGCTGGCATCGATGATTTCGAAGGCCACAAGCCGGGTGTTTCCCACCCCCACCCTGGCTCTTCTGTGTGCTCAGGAGTAAAAGCAATGTGGCCTGGAGATGCAGGCTTGGGGGGACGCGGCTTGCCAGAAAGGCCCAGTGCCCAGACATGGGTAGCACCAGAGGGATTTGCTCCAAGAGCCCCTTCAAAGGCTGTCTCTTTCCTGGGACAGCTTTGCTGCTGATCTCGTTCTGTGTCCTTCCTTTGTCTCTAACCCTGCCTTCTTGCTGCTCTGACGCTAACCTCCATGGAGCATGCATTAGGATCTTAATTGGCTCAAACTATGTATTTCTTATGTTTAAAGATTTAAATCTCCTGTACGTATGCCCAGAGCACTGGTGGGATAGGGGGTCCTACATGGGACTGTGAACCACAGACCCTAGTTTGAAACCACCAGCTGCTCCTTGGAAAACAGATGAGGCTTTCGACCGGTCAAGATTTACAGTCTCTCCCCACCTAATTTGTAATTACAAATTTTTATGAAATAAAAGGGGGGGGGGTTTACAGTCTTGGAAACCTACAGGGGTAGTTCTACGCTTTCCTGCGTGGTCGCTATGGGTCAGAATCAACTCATTGGCAGGGAGTTTGGTTTTTGAGTTTACCCATATGCTCTTCCCCATGTACATTGTTCTCAATGTCTGTGTGCTCCTCCGTTGCTTTCTTGAAAATGACCTGTTTGTTCCCTCATAGATATTCATAGGACGATGCAGAGAATGAGGAGATTGAAAAATCACTGTCCCCAGTAACCGGGAATGACATGGTGGTGTGCTTTTCTGTCTTCTTGCTAGGCACGTTCTTTAGGGAAACATTTTTAACTAGATCCCCACTTGTTGTCTTGTAACTCTTTCCCACGATAAATGATACTTCACTGACAATTGAGTCGTTGCCCACGCATGGGGTCAGTGGCCATCCACAGGATGGCTGGGAGCCCGGGCCCCAACGTGAGCCCGAGTGGGGAGTGGAGTGGACCATGCCAGGGAGCTTGGGTTTCTGTGTGTGGCTGTGTGGGGGGTCTTTTTCTGTTGGAACATGACTCGCAGATTGTGGGTGTTAATAAATACTGAACGATGACAGGCTGTGTGTACATTGGTGTCCATGCACACTTATTTTTCTGCGTCCTTGTTTGGGCTTCTGGATATTTAAAGTGGGTGTGAAGCTCTGAATACCTCCACGCGTGCGCATGTCTATCTGTGTCCGAAACAGATGTCTTGCCCCATGCCGCATGTCCTTAGCATGTGCGTGTGTCCGTCTGTGCCTCCTTAGGGGAGTCTAACAGAAAACCCTATGTGTGTGAACCAGGTGTACTACTAGGTGAGGCATGGCTTCTTAGGGCCTATGCGCATTCAGTGGTGGGGTGCACATGTGTGAGGGTCCCCCACCGGCCCCGCTGTGCCGGGTGTTTGCTGGCTAGGGCTGGTCATCGTGGGAGAGTGCAGGAAAGAGCCGTATCCCTGCTTTCTCCCCGGAGCCCTGAACAGGGGTGACGCACCCTCCCTGGGCTCCCCATTCTCCTGGGAACCAGCTCGTGAGAGTGAGTGAGACCGAGAGCAGACTGCGTCAGGAGCACGGCCCCTTTTGCAACCAGCCCAGGCCTCAGGCACTAACCGAGAGGCTCTCACAGGTCAGACCTGCCCACTGTGCCTCTCCTGCCAGGAAACCCGGCTCCCAGGCAAGGTGCACTGTCAGCGTCCTCCTTGGGCCTGGGCCAGATCCCCTGGTGAGCAAAACCCGGCAGAGGGGCCACATGAGTCACCCGTGGCAACAGAGGAAGGGATTTCCTGGGCCTGGCCCTGCTGGCTGTCCCAGAGACGCGGGCTTTTGCTCCCATGTGCAGCCATGCATCGGCAACCTTATCTTCCCCGTTATCGCTTCCATCCCTACATCTGCGCCTCAAGATGGACCAGATGGCTTTTATTAGCTCCAGTTTACAGATGGGCAGCCTGACTGAGGGGAAGGGAGAGCCGCGCTCGGATCTGATTTCCTGACCCCCAAGCCCAGGCCTCTTCCCAGGGGCCGAGGGAGCGTGGGTTCTGCTTCCTAGAGATGGTTCTCTTAGAGGCAGGCTGGGCAAGGAGGCCGAAGGTCTGGAGCTGGGAGGCGGAGGCTCTCGGGATGGGTGTGGGCACTGAGCCAGGCCTGCTCTCCTAGGGGGCTGCTCAGCTGCAAGGCAGG